CTCCCCCCACCTACAATCCCTGCCGGTACGAGACTCGAACCCGCAACCTTTGGGTTACGAGTCCGACTCTCTAACCATTAGGCCTGCCTGCCTGCCTGCCTGCCTGCCTGCCACAGAACAAAGAAACTCATACAGGTTTGGAACAACATGAGGCTGAGTAAATAATAACAGAAGTTTCATTTTTGTGTGACCTATTCGTTTAAGGCCCATTTACACCAGGGATCATACTTAAAGGGATAGTTCACCCAAAAATGAAAATTCTGTCATTAATTACTCACCCTCATGTTGTTCCAAACCTGTAAGACCTTCGTTCATCTTTGGAACACAAATTAAGATAAGCTCTGACCCTCCCATAGACAGAAAGGATCCTTACACGATCAAGGCTCAGAAACGTAGCAAGGAGATCGTTAAAATAAATGTGACATAGAACCACACAACAACTATAACGATAATGACACAGAGAAACAATATCAATGAAATCAATTTCCGAACAATTTTTCTAAAAGCTGAACAATAAAATCATTGACAGCCAAGCAGAATCCAGCCAACTTTAAAGAGCTTGAGCATTTAAAGCAGCAGGCGACAAAACTGGAGCACCCACTTATAATAAGCAGAATGTTATCGTCCATTGGTTTGGAAGTCAATATAGTTGTGGTTATAGTTAATGTTCCTGGTGTGAACTGGCCTTTAATTGTCATCGGCTAGCAAAATATCATAAAAGTTGTTTAGGAAAATATGACATCTTTGAAAGGGCCTCACACTAATACAGCTTCAAAGGTCTCTGTGTGCGTGCATTCATTTAAAATATTGAATAAAATGAGGGAGGGCTGGTGCTTCTTTAATTTAGTCATTCAGCACTTTGTCAGAATGCACAAATACAATTACATGTAATCACATTCAAATCCCTCTCTTCTTTCATCCCTTCCTCTCTCTCTTTCTCCTCTCATTCTGTCACTCTGTAGTCCCCAGCTGCTTGTCTCTCCATCATGGACTCGGCCACAAATTAACAGCCCGGCGTGTTCTGTTACGATGCCGCTGATATCATTACGCCCGCGTGCCTGTCAGAGAGATAGATGGAGGAGAGCGGGAACGAGAGAGAGAGAGTGCAAAGAAGGGTGTAGTGAGGGGGTGGAGGGTCAGAGGAGTGTGACAGGAATATAAAGAACTGGGTATCTATCGTGGCCTTTTTTCTTTTTTGATATCAGTTGCACTTTATTCAAAGTCTGGATGTTTCCTCGCCTCATACACTGACCCCCAAAAATAATCAGACATTTAAAGGTTTAGTTTACCCTAAAATAGAAATTCTATCATCATTTATGCACGTTCATGTTGTTCCAAACCTGTATGACTTTCTTTTTTGGAGGAACTCTAATGAAGAAACCAACAATCTGCATAATATCTTGTATAAAATGTAAAACTCTGACCTGTTTGGCACTTCAAAAAAAAAAAAAAAAAAAAAAAATTTACAATATTTTATACTGTACAATACAATATTAACAATATCTTGTACAATACAATATTTATACTGTTTTCAATTTTAATATATTTTAAAATGTAATGTTTTCCTGTAATGTATTACAATGTTGAAAGCCGTTTTCACTGTTTTGTTTTGTTTTGTTTTGTTTTGTTTTGTTTGTTTGTTTGTTTGTTTTGTTTTGTTTTGTTTTGTTGAAATCATGATACTTCATTCCAGGATTCCAGAATATACAATTAAAAAGAACAGCATTTATTTTAAATATATATCTTTTATAAAAACATTATAAATGTCTTTACTGTCACTTTTGATACATTTTATGCAGCGGTTCTCAAACATTTTTGATCACGCCTCCCTTTAAACCTTTAAAAAAATCTGGCACCCATTAAAATAATAAGCCATTACAATAATCAATATTGATATGAGTCATGTGCTTGTACATTATAATTTTATTTTAACTGAATACACATTAATGTGGGAGGAACAATGAAACATTGAACTTTAGCTGTTTACAGTGAAATTAATCTTATACTTTTTTTTTTCCAAAAATTAGTTTGATTAGTTTGAAAAGGCATAACTATTGTTATGCCTTTTATAATGCAGAAAGAACAAATACACAAGGGCTGTAAGATTTGTGCCCTGCAGGCTGTCGTGTTGCGTATCAGGCGTTTGCAGACCTGCGTTTGGAGTGAAGACAGATTCACCTGCATCAGTGGTAACACACTTGGAGGCTTTTATTAAAATGAAAAGTGAGAAAAGTGTCCATCGAAGCGTGAAGAGAGAAAATGGATGTGGGGTTCTCACAGTGCAGGGGGACGTGAATGTGATGAGATTTACATTCTATGACTCTAGTAGTCCACTTACAATCATTTCATCAAAAAAGTGCAGCTGGAAAAACCAAGTGACCAGTGATCTGTTTAATATAGATGTTTTGAAATGCTTCATCTAGCCTGTGTGCATTATGTTTTATGATTCATTTGTTTGGCCATTTCAAAAGCATGATTAATGTGAACATAATCAGATGTAGGACACAAAAGGTCTTATTTAGGGCACACTGCTCTGTATTTCATCATGAATGTATTAGTACAGACATAATCCCATTGGTGCAATATCTCTGGGTTTGGAGAAGTGGTGTAGGTTTTAGAAAGATTAATTTTGACCTGGTTTGGGTTCACTGTTATGATTCGTTGTGCTTCTGGTGTGTGTGTGTGTGTGTGTGTGTGTGTGTGTGTGTGTGTGTGTTATAAATGTTCAGACCCATGGCTGAATTTATATACTCTTATATACACTATCTTTCTGTACTTGAACCCTCTCTCATGGGTAATGTGGGATTGATTGATGTGTGACTGGGTTATTGTGAGCTGATGATATAACTGTATTACATAACACAATTCATACTGATCAACTTTCCCTCTGAAATCTTTGCATTTGTGTGTGTGTGTGTGTGTGTGTAAAAACTCATTCATATTTCTCTCATTGCTTTTCATTGTGTTAGTGCACAAACTACACGACTGACTATTGTCTAGGATGCAGTTTTATCTATAGATTTGTTTCAGTTTGTCTTGTGATTTTATGTGGGGATAAATAGCTTGAAAAAATGATTTTGGTTCATTTCCCTTCTATTTCATAGATATAGTGCCTCGTCCAAATCAGAATTATTATAACAATTAATAAAGAATTACTATTTTGAGTTGTTCGGTAAGGAAGCTTGTTTTTGCCACGGGATAAAAAATAAAATAAAAAAAATTGTCTCACAATTCAGACTTTATTATTGGAATTCTGAGAAAAAAAAAAGAATTGCAAGACAAAGTCCCAGTTGCAAGAAAAAAGTCAAAATTGTGAGATACATTAAAAAGTCACAATTACGACAATTTATTAGTCACTTTTTTTTTTTTTATCTTTTTTTTTTTAAGTGAGCTAAAAAGTTGAAATTATGAAATAATTGTTTTTTTCTGTGGCAGAAGCAGGACTCCATAGTTTGGCTTTTAATTTTAAAAAATGTTGCATAATATGAAGCTGTTTTTGCACTGATGTCAGACTTGTTCAGTTGTTTTGAGTAATCTTATATTTTGGGTGCATTCATCAAGTTCACAATAAAAAAGGAAATAATCAAATGAGATGATGTGCCTGACATCTGCAAAATATTTAATTCAAAAATAGACAATACTGAATGCTTATGTCATTTATTTATCCATCATTTATTTTATTTATCCACTATTTATAAGTACATGTGTGTGTTATTTGTTGTACTAAATGTAAATTTATCTATTAATTATTATTGTAAAGGAAATTACAATTTAAAATATAAATAAGTATATATATATATATATATACACTCTTAAAAATAAAGGTGCTTAAAAGGTTCTTCACAGCGATGCCATTTTTGGTTCCACAAAGAACCATTCAGTCAAAGGTTCTTTAAAGAACCATCTCTTTCTTACCTTTTTATAATCTGAAGAACCTTATTTCGCCACAAAGAACCTTTTGCGAAAAAGAAAGGTTCTTCAGATGTTAAAGGTATACTTTATGAAACCATTTAGACAAAAAGGTTCTTCTATGTCATCGTGAAGCACCTTTATTTTTAAGAGTGTACTGTGGTATATATTATTATATAGTACACTTCTTTTATTTTAAGTTTTATATATAAAATATTGGTCATATTGTGCTGTCTACTTGCCTTGTTGATTCAGAATAATGGTTTTTAAAATTAGGAGTGTTACCCTTGAGCTTTCCAAACTGGAATAGCTGCTCTAATGATGTTCTTGTCTGTGTGTTTCCAGATTTTTTCTTGGAGCTGTTGAACCGTTCTGAAGCATCGCTCCAAACCTCTTTCCAGACCGGGTTTGGACCTCTCTTCTCCCAAATCGCAAAGGTGTTTCAGGATCTGTACTCAGACCTTCGGCGCTACTACCGAGGGTCCAACGTCAATCTCGAGGAGGCGCTGAATGAATTCTGGGCCCGTCTGCTGGAAAGACTCTTTAAAGCTTTAAACCCTCAGTACATTATTGGAGAGGAGTATCTGGAGTGCGTAGCCAAGCAGTCAGAAACGCTGAAGCTGTTTGGAGACACGCCGAGAGAGCTCAAGACCAAAATCACACGCACGGTTATTGCTGCCAGAACGTTTGCGCAGGGTCTGGTGATCAGCGGCGAAGCGGTCAGGAAGGTTTCACAGGTATTCATATTCTCACGTTCTCATAACATTTCCATGATATTTTGTCATGATCCCGATGCACATGAAAAGCTTCAAGCTTTTTTTGGGCTTCACAACCTCTGGTCACTCTTTCTACTTTTACAGCACACTACTTGTACAGCATACAAGTTTGGAGTGGTATGAGGTTGTATAAATAGTCATAAAATGTGCGTTTTGCTCTGAACTATTCCTTTAAACATCAAATATGTTGTGATTTGCTGTGATTTCTTCACTTTACGCAGCATTTCATGGAGGACAGAAAAATGTCTTGACACTGAAAAAGTAGTTTTTTGCGCCTGGTTATACATTTCTGAATAATTTCCTTCTCAGTATTCATTGCATTCATAATACATACCTGTGGCAATGCACAAACCTTATACCTCCTACTAGAACCAAGAACACAAACAGACACACAAACACAGGTGCATGTTGAAGCGTTGCGGTAAACAGCGTAGGATCAATGCATCGGGAAAACAAGACACAATGAATATCCCTGAGGCTCCAGCAATCAATGTACATACACACCCACACACAAACACACACACACTGCAACAAAAGTATTGTGTCTATCCAATTAATGCTGACATTAGACAGAGATGCTCTCAGTGTAAATCACAGCTGCTGCCTTTATAGGTTCATCCTAACTAACTACACATTTAGTTTCTTGTAAAGACAATTCATAGTTGTTTGAAATCCTTGGAGACAAGATCCTGTTTCCTTACCCAGTAAAAGTACAGGTGTATCTCAATAAAGTAGAATGTCGTGGAAAAGTTCCTTTATTTCAGTAATTCAACTCAAATTGTGAAACGTAAATTCACTGAATTTATTTAATACACGAGTTTCACAATTTGAGTTGAATTACTGAAATAAATGAACTTTTCCACAACATTCTAATCTATTGAGATGCACCTGTATATTTTCTGACAGGGAAAACTTAAAAATGAAATGAAACCTAAAACAAACCACAGACATAGCACCACGACCCTGTTATATTGTGAGGAGACAATAATAGTAGTGATAGATCAAACCAGTCTGACCTCATTCAGTGAGAATTGGAGGTTACTTATCAATTTTGAGTAGCTACTTTGAAACGACAAGCTACTTACAATTTTAAAAAATAGTTCAACAATAGTTGTCGATTAATTAAACGTAGCTAACTATCTCAGATCTTTTCAAATATGTAATTAAGTATCAGATTAGTGTATGCCACACACACACACACATACACAAAAATCAAATTTTGATCTCAATTCAGATGTCCATTAAACAGCATTTAAATAGATTTATTAATACAATTCACTAATAAAACTACAAAAAATTGTTTTCTTCAAAATAAATATAAAATGTGCAGAATAATATATTTTTTATCAAAAGTTGATGTTGTCTAAATGTTTGATGTAATAATAAAAAGTAATAAAAACAACAACAATAATAATAATTTAAGGGAATAAATTATTTTTATTAGTAGTAGTAGTATAACATCAAACATTCATTCATGAACATTTGTAGCCCATGCTTTGTCAAACTGATGATGTTTTTTTAATTTTATAGTGATTTTTTTTTTGTATAATTGAATCATGATCTGAATAAGGTGATTCATTAAAATGAAAATCAGAATTCTCAGTGCTTATGTGAGAGAATACATATTTAGTGTTTGAAACAACAGCGATATATCGGATTCTTACAGCAAAAAAGTAGCTTCTTGCTAAATAAGAGTGAGCAAAAATTGCATTCTGGTAAGGTCTTCTCATTCTGTCCCTTGCAACTTCTATTAGAAAGAAATACTTCACCCAAAAATGAACATTATTCTGATCTGTCATTATTAAGTCACTATTGTTTTGTTCCAAACCTGAGGTAAGCCTTCCAAACCATGCTGAACCAAGCTGCTCGTTTCCATTCAAGGAAAACTGAGAGTGATCCACACAGTTCCACAAAGGCATAAATACATATTACATTATCACTGATAGAGAATAGATCTTTGATTTGTTTTTGTTGTTGTTGTTGTCCACTTTGGTTCATCTGTTGTTTACTTCTCATTCTTTTCCTCCACTTTTCTTCTCCCCTTCTCAGTTCTCTTCTCTCCTGAAATCTAAATGAGTAGTGAAGGGAACCTAACTCTGTGTCTGACCTCTTCAAAGTAAGTCAAGGTTGACAACACAGAGAAACTGCCAGCACTGCATATTGAAAAGGGCAATGTATGCGTGTGTGTGTATGAACTGAGGTGGGGGAAATGATTGATTTGCCAGTTCCGGTCTGTTTTGTCTGACCAAGAGATGTCTTTTAACCCCATCATGTAAGAGCGAAAGAATAATTCCAAAACCTGCCCACCATTCTAAGACAGCAGCACATATACAGTACGTTAAGTCAAGTCACCTTTATTTATATAGTGCTTTATGTCAAAGCAGCTTAACAGTGTTAAACAGGAAAATAATGTTTCAATGATGCAAGTTAATAAGTTGTTCCTTCATTCTGATTTGATTAAATCAGTACAATTAGTATTTGTGCAATGTGGCCACGTTTTGGAATGAGGCTGACATTGTTTCATTCTTTTATAACAGAAAGTTCATCTCTAGTAGTGCTGTTTTGCTCCTATATATTCCTCCACTTGCTTTCTGTTAAATAATCAGTCCTTAATTTCTATTCTGTTATGAGCTCATGAATAATTTAATCATGCATTATGTTCACCAATTCCTTTAATGGATTGCTCCGTTTTTAATGCAAGTTAAGCTCTACGTCGGTTACCACAGAAATTAATTTAGACTCATCGCTCTGTATTTTTTAAGCAATAATCGTGGTTTTAGTAACACCATTTCAATGAAAGTAAACCAGGCCAACCTTCCAGAGGCTTTAAAAACAGAAATATGAAGCACATTAATTATTCAGTAAAACCTTTATTAATTGAGCTAAGAAATAGCTTTTATTATTTATTGTAATTTTTAGTAATTTGTTATGTGCTTTTGTAATTTATATTAGTTTTTGTTTATTTATATTAGGTTTAATTTATTTTTATTTCAGTTAAAATTGAAGTTTAAGTTACAGTTTTTATTTTTATTTAGTTCCAGTTACTATAGAAGTCTATAGAAGTCCATGGGGACCAGCAATTGTTTGGTTAACAACATTCTTAAAAATATCTTCTTTTATGTTTAACATACACACTCATAAAGGTTTGTAACAACTTTAGGGTGAGTAAACTATAACAGTTTTCATTTTTGTTGGTCATGTATGTGATCTAAAAATGCCTGCCACAATGAGGCGACCCACTTCATGTCAAATAAAACAGGCTACGGACACTGATGTTAGTTTCTGGGAAACTCAATGTTATACCACCGAATGCTTAACTTGTAACTTGCTTGAGGTCATTCAGGAGATGAAAAAGGAAGAAAGAGTTTTAGAGGAAAGAAAGCAGAAGAACAAGTATTAGGGGAATATTAGCCTGAAATAAAAGAAGGAAATGAAAGAATAAAAGAGAAAAAGCACTTCCCTTCTTTCCTCTCAAGTTGTTCCTGCGTTTTCTTCATTTTTATTAAGGACGACGTGTGCTCCCTGTGACTTCAGAAGTAGGCCAGTCGCAGCACATATTTCTCCACGCACTGGGAGGAGCGCAGCCATATTTCTTTCTAATTACAATAGAGAAGATCGTCTGTAAAGAGAGCCCATCTAGACTGTGCCGTGACCCGACCACATACATATCCCTTATCAGACGTGCCATTTAAGGACAGAAGAACAAGCAGAGCCTTATAAATCAGACGACAGATGGGAAGACATTGGCAAGAACTTTAAGCATATGTTAATGAAGGAATAAATCAAACAAAAGTGGAAAGTCTTTAAAAAAAATTACAATGGTATTAACATAAAAATCCCTTGTAAATGTGTTTTTGATGGTAATACCATGGTATTCTTTGAAGTTCATTACAGTACAATACTGTGGTGGTATAATGGCAAAGTGATGGTATCAGATGTCAATACTATGGTAATTTGAAATATACTACAGTACTAAAATGAATGTATTACATGGTATTAGAAGAGTTCTTTATAGTTGTATTTTGCAAGAAAACCTTGTCCCTCCCATGGTACTTGTTTAAAAAAAAAAAAACAGTAGTACATGGTAGAAGTGGGTTATGAATGCCATCTCTTGTTGATGTGAAGCACTATAGCATTTGAATATGGTAATCAAACAGCAATAATTAGCAAATATTGTGTCTGATGAAGGGATTATGCAGCTGTAGTTGAATAAATAGTATGAGAATCCTCTGAAACACAGGGCTTTTGTTGGATAAGATGAGCCTTGGCTAAAAAGCTAACAATCTAGAGCAGACGAAAGCAGCGGACCTCACAGGACCAGGCCTTCTGCTTTTGAACACAGATCCATCACAGCTGGGAATGTGGAAACAAGGCATCATGACGCAATTGTTTTGGCTTTTAGGGTCCATTGAATGCAGAAAGTAATGAGAGAGTGGTTCAGACAATGTCAGTTGTGATGCATGTGTTAACATTGCTAATTTCAACGCAAAAAAAAAACATCTAAAAATCATTATGGTGATAAATTATACCAATAAACAAGATACATTTGATTTGAGGAACTGTTATATATTAAAGGGGTCATATGACGTTGCTAAAAAGAACGTTATGTTGTGTATTTGGTTTAATGCAAGGTTTATGCAGTTTAAGGTTAAAAAAAACACATTATTTTCCACATAATGTACATTATTGTTGCTCCTCTATGCCCCGCCTTTCTGAAACGCGTCGATTTTTACAAAGCTCATCGGTCTGAAAAGCGAGGTGTACGCTGATTGGCCAGTTATCCTGTCCTTGCAAAGTTGGAACTGCCCCACTTTATAGAACAGCCTTTGAGCACAGACGCATTGTATGCTACTCTGCAGGTTCAGGAAACAGTCTTCCATAAAATGCATCACACAGCGTCACACATGGCGGACTAGAGTGAGGAACGGCCGGCGACCTTGAGAACGGCACGGCCGGCAGGT